TGTGCTCTAACCATTAGGTTAGGATACAAACCATTGACACCATGTATCCTTAGAATTCTACGCTCTTTCCAATGGTGTTCTCAGATTCACTCTAGGACTTATAGTTTTTGACCTAGAGCATAATACTTAAAAGCTACCAGCCCCTTACAAATAGGTGTCTGTCCATTGGAGTACAGAAAGACAATGAAAATATGGAAAAAGTATATTTTCAAATTATTTTTAATCAATGTACTTTTTAAAATAACGATTTTGAACGAACTTAGTTTCCAGCTCAATATTACACCAATTAAAATAAAGATTTATAATACAAATATAAACATCCTGGGTTTGTTTAGATTTTAAGTTAATTTTAAATTAATTTTATGAATATTCTTAGAAAATAACTAATTTTTAATAATTAAATAAATGTACTGTATACATAAGAAAACCTATTAACTAATACTATTTAGTGTTATATAAACATCATAAATTATCTGGATGACACAATCAAGCATTCAATTACAGTATTACTACTATAATAAGCCTTCAATTTTTGTGTTTAAACAGGACTGGCCTTCCAGTCCCATTGAAGGACGTGTTTTTCAATTGATTACTACTTTAATAGCATTTACGAGTCAATTATATTATTATAAATACTGTGTTACTCTAAATTGTTGCAACCACTGGTAAACATTATAGTATTTACACATTCATATTATTTATACAGTAGTAGTTCATTTTTAAAATAATCACCCGGTACTGTGCTAATAAGTGGTTTTAAATTATTTTAAATTAGAAATAATTTTTTAAATTCAATATTACTAGTTGTTTTATAAATATAGTTTTAAGTGTGTTTTTAATTATAACTTTCATAGTGAATATATTTCTCAATATGAAATTATCATTGCACGTGAAAGTCATACGACTATTACTGCACAAGAATTGGTTAATCCGTTCCCACCATAAGATGCCATTCCTATTGCTATTCATAATTCCCATTTGTTTTACAATATTATCACTCAAGTTAAGTGGCATTAATAGGCAGTGGTATTGGAGTACCGGTGTTGACAAACCAATACTCAACTCATCGACAAAAGCTATTTATTATGATCGCCAAAAAATTATTAATGAATCGTATTATAGATATTCCCGATCATATGCTCATACGAGTAGGAGTTATAACAATGATTACCTGGATATAATTTATTGCCCTAATAATAGCTACACGAATATGCTTATGGAGAAAGCCGGCAACTATATAACAAATAAATATAAGTATAGGTAACGTATTATCCCTTAATTTCACATCAAATTAATGGTATATTGTGCTAATTAAACA